ATCTGTCAGTCTCACTGAATAAAGTTATGAAACCACAGAAACGATCAACTCCACTTTGTTGTGGGTTACTTTATCATAACATCGTACCCTTCCTTTCAATTTAGAGAAATGATACTGTACACATCCAGTGCGTTTCCTCTATAATATCCTCCAGTTTCACAGGCACTTGTTTGCACTTTCCTCTTGTTAAGATTGCAGACAAGAATAATTTTGATTTATTGGTTTCATCTAATATAGCCGTGTTTATATTGTTGCCAATAAAATGACTTACACGATTGGTTTTTGTTTATACAGTCTTTTCTGAGGAGTCAGTCACCTGTGTTAGGACAAGGTACATTCTGCTGATTAAAATGAACTCCTGCGATCTAAGAACATTCAGCTCTATCTGTCCTTGATTGAATTGCAAAATGTGCTTCACACTGCAGCCGTGCATGAGAATAACTTATATTATCTGTCAATAGGCTTTTCATTTCTATATTCTTCTGGTTACAAAAGCTGTAACCAAGAGAAGCGCAGGGGAATAGCTCGGGTCTATTAATGATCAAGGCTGCGATGTTGAAAAGGCAGTTAATGAAATTATAGAATCATTAACCCGAAGGGAAAAAACTAGAAGGAATCGATAAAAACCCTATTTTAGATGGCTTAGATGTATATAAAAGAAACAGCTCAGGAGCATTTTTGTTTGCTGACCAGTATTTTGTGTCTCATTATCAGGTTTTCTATGCAGGGTAAGAAACGCTTGTGGCATAAGGAATGGAAAATATAACAAAGGCTAAATGTAGCCTAAGGAAATGAAATGATGTATGAAAATTAATAATTAACTGGCTCATCAGATGAACTATGACTCTAGATGAGTTTATTAATGATATTTACTAAGAAAGGGCTTTTGGCTGTAAATAGGCATTATGGAACTCGTGTTTTTGGAATTTTCTTGAATGGCCCAGTTAACATTGCTTTTCACTTGTTGGATCTTTTAATCTGAGACACAGTGCCTGGAGCCTTGGGTAGAAGGTAGAGTCATGATTTTGTATTTTGATTGAAGTCATAGCTTTTCCAGAAAACCAGTGAAATTATTAAATGGTTTTGTGCCTTAGTTTCCTTAGGAGTTAAGTAATTTCCTTTCTGACCTGACTTACAGGAGTGCATTTTGGAGTTTGAAAGTGGTCAACAGGAAGATTTATTAACTCATGTTGACTCATTTGACAGAATGAACATTTTCATTGTTTGAATGGACAGATTATTAAAACTCTAACTGTATCAATATGTCAGATCCAAAGTACCCTAAATTTGTACTTCAGGATGTTCCTTGCTTTTTCTTTTTCTTCTCTTTTTTCTGTTGACATCTTGGGGTAGGCGGTGGGTGAAGGGTGGAGGAGAAAGTAATTCTGGAGAACTTGAACAATTTTTTTTAAAGATTTTTATTTATTTATTTGACATAGAAAAATACAGTGAGAGAGGGAACACAAACAGGGGGAGTGGGAGAGGGAAAAGCAGGCTTCCCACTGAGCAGGGAGCCTTATACAGGGCTTGATCCTAGGACCCTGGGAGCATGACCTGAGCCGAAGGCAGACGCCTAACTGACTGAACCACCCTGGTGTCCCCATTTTTTTTTTTTTTTAAGAGAGAGAGAGAGTGCGCGTGCAAATGCGCGCGTGTGAGCAAGCGGGGGGGGGGCAAAGGAAGAGGGAGAAAAGCGGACTCCCCATGGAGCAAGAAGCCAGATGTGGGGCTTGACCTCAGGACCCTGAGATCAGGACCTGAGCTGAAATCAAGGGTCAGGTGCTCAACCCACTGCGCTACCCAGGTGCCCCTTGAGTAGGTTTTTAAATAGAAGGATGCTCTGCCAGTGGAATCCTACCAGTTAGGTTTTGATATTGATTAGCTGTGATTTCGCTTTTTGGCAAAGTGTAGGCAAATTTAATCCTGAGGTCCATTTTTCAAGGTAAGTGTTGTCTTTCAACACACTGCTGACATGAGAACCTCCTATCAGCTCTTGCTTTGATGGAGTGGATGAAGATTACTCTTTTTGCTTCCGTGTCTACCCTCTCCTCTTGATTTAAGTGCCATAGGTATAAAATCTATGTATTTATCCTTGATCATCTTAAGTGGGTATTTTTGATAATCTTCCACGTCTTAATTATCTGGAGGATCAGAATTTCAAGAGACTGTAGTGATTTTCATCAACTTCCTTGTTTTATGGATGAAATCTGTAAGTCCAGAGAAGTTATAAATGATTTGCCAGAGGTAGAACTCAGGTGTCCTGACATTCTGACTCATTAAGGATGTGTCTTTCTTAAAAGTTAGCAGTTTATTCCTTTTTTGTTACCACGTGGACTTAGACTTATAAATGATCGTATGGCCTTGCTAAAAAGTATATAAAGTACTATAATAGCGATAGATAAAATTGATTTTTAAATTCTAGTCTCTAATGCTTGAAAAATCTGTTGGCATAATTAATGTGAAAACTGGGTTATTAAGCATATTTTCACATAGAGTTTATTTTATTTTTGTCTTGAGGCTGGTTTTCTCAGCTTATATGCCATTGCCTTACTGCTGTTTTTTATGGAATTAATTACTTTCTGGTTGTTGTCTTTTTAGTAATAAAATTTAAGTGCATTTTTGTTATTGTTATTGTTACTTTTAACCTAAAGCTATTTAAAACAGGACTGCAGTTTATAAATAAAATGAAAGTCCAGTTTGACAGGCTGGTTTGAGTGTCTGACACTTAATTAACTTCTCAGCACGTTAATTATTTTTCTTGCAGTCTCACTTTCTTAATGATCTAACCTAGTGCTAAGTACCTACTTACGTGTTTTTATCCAGATTTTTGATGAGAATTCCTGCTTGTATATGATCTTGCTGCCAAAAAGACTCCTTTGTTTTTAAAAACTTGCAAGTGGGCATAGTCTGCAAATCTACAGACACTTGTCACATGGATTCATGATGACTCATAGTGCCAGTCATATTGGATGATTCCTCATTTTCAACAAATTGCCAGTATAGCATATATACTTATTTATTTTGTTTGGTGCTGAATAAGTGCTCTCTTCTGCAGGGTTCAGAGTACTCAGAAAACACTGTTTTATGAATGAGCAGAGAATAGATGGCCAACATCCTCTGGCAAAGCACAGAGACATGAAATGATTCTTGCTCACAGTCAACCCACAACTCAACAAACCAGCTGATAATACACTGGAGTTCTTAAATGGACACAGCAAGAAGGGCGTTGGGATTTTTCCAATGTGAAAAACCAAAATTTTACAACCAGTTTGATACTAGGGTTCATTTGTTATTGTCCCATAAGACAACTTAAGTGATAAGGTTTGGCTGGGCTGGGTTTCCTTGCCCATTCTTGTCGACCGTAGTGGAGGGAAGGGCAGGAGATGGACCTCAGAGTGTTTCTCAGGACTGGATGGCCTGGCAATGTGAAATGTGACAGACTGATAGAATTCTTAATAAAGTGGAGAACTGGTAAGGAGGAAAACATTCCAAATGTTGTATTGTTAGTAAATTTTGAAGTTTCTCAGCATTCAGGCACACACAGTAAACTTTGCAGAGGGCACAGTGAGTGCTTGACTAGAAAATAAAAAATATTTGATTTTTGATCAAATATTTTTTGATTTTTTAAAAGGATAAAGAAAAAAAAAACCCTCTTCACAGAGAGTTTTCCTTCTGTGGTGTTCTGTCCCTAATGGTGGATGAAGCCATTTGTGTGGGAGTTGGTTGGAAATGATTGTCTAAGGCGTTGAGTGGATCATGCAGACAAAGTGGGAATCATCCAGTTGAGAATATCTGACCAATACTGCTTTGCACTCCGTCATATCTCCTGTATTTGTTCAGCTTTTGCTTCCTTTCATGACAATCATATCTGTGCAAAATAATACAGAGTGGGAGTGTGTTTGTCAATCACTTGGAGTAGTGCCGCTTAGTCACTTCCTTGACTCTATGTACATTTTGGGGAGCTCTCGGTGAAGGGAGGGAAGCACCTTTCCTACACACTTGTAACCAGAGAGTACTGACATTATGACGTCCTGTGGTCATGTCGTACCATTGGTTTTCTCTTACCGCTTGAGGAAGGGGGCGCTGGGATGGCAGATGGAGCTATATTGTGGAACTACGGTTGATTTACTGTGTGTAGTGTATGGTGAACATACTTCCTTTTAGAGGGTCTCTTCTTTCGGTATGCTTTCTGTAAAGTGTTTTGTGCAGACTTTTCCTTTTCTAGGATCTTAATAGAAGGTGAGAGTATTGTGATGTTGCTTCTGTTTCCATCCCCATAACTCAGAACCATTATGGAACCAAGACTTCAGTGCTGCTGTGATTTTGGACATGTGGATGTATGACATCTTCGTGAGAATCTCAGACCCCTGTTTTTACCTTTTGTAAGTCTAGGGACTGTGAAAAATTTGCTCTTACGGTAAAAATCAGAGGTGGTTTAGTATCCTCATACTCTCATTTAGAGGCCATATCAGCCTTTTCCTTGTTTACTGGAAACTTTGGAGCGTTGGTCTCACAGCTCAGAAAGGTAGTGCTTTGGGTTTCCCAAGACTCACTGTAGCAAAAGTGAACTAGTATGGACAGATCCTCTGGGGAGCAAAATAAGTTTCATTTTGCAAGCTGGTACCAGTTGATTGGTTGTCGTTGCCAAGGGCACTGTATTGAGAAGGGCTCAGTGGCAAACAAAACAATACAGTGATCCATAATCCATGTCTACCGTGAATGCAGGAGGGAAGAGTGCCTGCCAATGAACCATGTGTTTGATGACCCTGCTTTACATAAAAGGCCGTTTGGCTAAGAGTGCTTCTTTTCTTCCTGGTATGAATGCTACACAGGTTGAAAACTCACTGTGACTTATTTTCATTTTTACTTTTAAAAATGCCTGCATTTATTTTTTTAAACAGGCTAATAACCCACACCATGGATAACTTATTGGACTTTGCCTGAAAGGAGTCATTAGTGCCATTGGATATTTGACCATCCTGGCCACAGGTTTTTTCAGAATGAATGGAAGGTCATGCAGCATGAGTCTCCACCGGACATCAGGAACCCCACAGGGGCCCGGGATGGTCAGTGGCCAATACATTCCTCCCATCCGAGCCCACTCTGGGACTCCTGGCCCCTCGTCCTGTGGCAGCACAGCGAGCCCTGCCATCGGAAGCCTTGCTAACAGCCTTCATCTCAAGATGCCCTCGGGAGGAGGGATGGCTCCTCAGAGCAACGTGGCCGAGAGCCCCCTCCATCTGCCCGCCTTGAGCCCCAGGAGACAAGTGCTCACCAATGGGAAGCCACGATTCCAGGTCACCCAGGCTGGAGGCATGTCAGGGCCACACAATTTAAAGCCAAAGCAGCAGGAGTTTGGAAGTCCTTTTCCTCCAAATCCTGGGAAAGGTAGGATTGTCTTTCTGGGATCTTTTAAAAGTGGAAACGATTTTTTTTTTTTTCTCCTCTCCAGATCCTTCTCAGCAAGCAAATCTCATGGAAAACTACAGGATTGAATGTCAGGGTCAATTCTGATGGTCTCACAATGCTCTGTAGCCTCCCTGGTGAGGGGGTGGATGGATAGATGCATGGGAGGGTGGGGAGGCCACAGTGGTAAACGTGATACCTCATGGAACTGTGAAGCAGAGTGGAAGGTGAGACAGAGAGGTCAGAAACAGGGAGCGAGGGTGGGTGGTGGTGGTGGCGGCAGGCAAGACCAGTTTAGCAAGACCCTACCCTCGGGATGCATGGAGGGACGGGATTCCCTGGGCCATGGCGGAGGGGGGCAGCCAGAGCCGTCATCGTGCGGGTCGGGTGCTAGAAGGAAGGTTTGGAAAGAAAAGGATAAAAAGGGAGAAAGCTTAACAGCCAATAAAGTGAGGAATTAGTGCATAGAAATGATAAAAAATTATTCCAAGAGCAGAACCCCTAAGTTTTGTAATACAGCTGGTGACAAAGAGGGAAGGGAGCTAGAAGAGAATAATGAAAGGAGGTATTTGGGGGCTGGTGGAGAACTAGAAAACTTGGCTAATTTGAAATGCAGAGAGAGTGTACTTTTAATTCAGTTTTTGAATTCAGTGTTTCAGTGTTTAATTCAGTGTTTGAATAATGTAAATTTTAAATCATGGAATAATTGTTGGAAAATAGCAAATTATTTGAATGGCTCACTCTCTCTAGAAACCGATGTTGACTTAATGAGTGATACTGCACATGAAATGTGTATTTGGGCCAGAAAAAGGAAGAGCGTGTATCTCATGTGAAATACAGCTTTGTTATGTAAAATAGCATAATTATATATGCTGTTAGGTATTTTTAGCATCTGGTTTCAAATGTTTATATTAAGTGTGTACACTACGAAATAAAATTACTAACAGCCTGAATAGCCATTCGCCCAGGTAACTCATAACTCACTCAGTTCAGGTGAATAATTATTTTTATCCTAAAAGTTGTTTTAGTGCCTTTGTGTTCCTCTGTATGGTATAGATGGGCAGGGTAAGAAAAAACCCTAAACTGTAAAACCTTAAAGTATGAAAAGCTATATATCTAGCTTTTTTCTTTTATTTATTTTGGTTTAGGTTTTGTTTTAGATTGTTTTATTTCCTAGACCTACTGATACTTAGTATAAGTATAGGAAAAACTTTCCTTGGGGGTGCTTCCAAGATAGCGCCATCACTGTCAGGTTGCTGCGTTCATGGTGTGGCAAGCTACAATGTCAAGCTCGTGTGTTTGGATTTTCAGGGACTGGGGCCCGGGAAAATCTTTCAGCTCTTGCTTGTCTAATGAGCTGTATGTAGCTTGCTTTCATCACATATACTTGTGTTGAATTCCGGCTGGCATTATTAATGCTGATAATATTAATAACTTCTATTTATTATGTCATAACTGGGCATGTGTCAGGCATTGTATTGAGTGCTTCCAATATAAAATCTCAGTTATCCCTCACAACAGCCCTGAGTCGTATGCTACTGTTGATTAACTGATAAGGGAACTAAGATCTAGAAAGAATAAATAACTTCAGCATTGCCATCGGTAAGGAGTTTGGGGATGTTACTTTGATGGTGAGCAGAAGTGGTTATGATTATATTCATAGTTAAAAAAGTTACGTTTCTGGTAATTCAGGGGTAGTGAACTCTCAGGGTTAATACATCTTGGAACTCTTGCAAAAATTAGTGCTGTCCCCAGGTTCGCCTCTTCCCAACTTTCTGACTCCTTGCTCAGCTTCCAAGCTTACGGTGCCTGTTCTGGATCTGCATGGTCGCGGTATGCATGAGCATGGCATAGGGGTTTAGGATAACTGTATTATTATCCCCTGTGGCCTTGTAGCTTGGATACCGCTCCGGATGGTGCCAGCAGTGGCTGAATGTGTCCCTTTCAGGTCTTGGTTGACAGATCCTAAGCTAAGCCAATAACTGGTTGAGAATGGTGATCTAGTAGGACTGTTTGAACTTCATCCAATCATTTACTCAACAGATAATTACTGAGCATGTTTTATAGGTGAGCCACTGTTCTGGGGATATAGTAGCTAATATAATAAAACATAGTCCTGGCCCTCAAGGAGTTAGGAGAATTCAGACAAATAAATGGGCAGTTAAAATAAAGTGCACTTAGGGCTCTGATAGGGATACACTGATGGCAATAGGGCTACATTTGCAGGGTTCCCAGCCCATGCTTGATCAGTGGATCCGGGAGAACAGTAGGCTGTCTAGGCAGACACCTGAAGGGTAAGGAGCTAGCCTTGCGATCATGCCAATTTGTGTGTGTGTGTGTGTGTGTGTGTGTGTGTGTGTGTGTGTGAGGGGGCTGTCTGGAACTCATTCTGGATAGACAGAAATCACCCTCAAAACCTGAAGGGGAGAGATCATGGTGTGTTTCATTAACTTCTGCCTGATTCCACGTTGAGGATGTAGAGACTGTGGCAAGAGACAAGACTGGGGAAGAATAAGCAGAGGCCAGATAAAGGTTATGGAGGAGGCGCCGAGGAGTTTGGACCTATCTTGAGCACACTGGTGAGCTGTGCAAGGGTTTTAACTTTGGGGATCATGTGATGGGATGATGTGATGAACTTGAGGTTGACATCTCTCTCAGGCTTTTTTTATGCAGTACTCACAGTGCCCTGACCCTGAGGGATAGTACCGAAGGACCTGTGACTGTGCGTGTATTAGTTAGGGTTCTCTGGAGGAACAGAACCAACAGGAGATGTATCTGTGCCTGAACGTGTACCCGTCCCTGTGTCTGTTCCTGTATCTGACTAGATTACGGAGGCTGACAGTTCCCAAGACACGGGAGATGAGTCAGCAAACTGAAGACCCAGGCCTGCTGATGCTATAGGTCTAGTGTGAGTCTGAAGACCTGGATCGAGGAGAGGCAGTGGTGTGTGTTTCCCTTCTGAAGGACAGCAGGTTTGAGACCCAGGATGAACTGACATTCTGGTTTGAGTCCAAAGGCAGGAAAGAGCTGATGTCCCAGTTTGTAAGTGGTCATTCAGGGAAGAATTCTTTCTCACTTGGCGGAAGGTCAGCCTTTTATTCTCTTCAGGCCTTTAGCTGATGGGGTGGGGCCTATCCACATTAGGAAGAGCAATCTATTTTACTCAGTCTACTGATTTAATGTAAATCTCATCTGAAAACACTCATAGAAACACCTGGAATGGTATTTGGCCAAATACCTGGGCAACTCATGAGCCATTCAAGTTGACATATAAAACCAACCATCAAAGTGGGGTACCATTGCTTTGGGGCCAAGCACAGTTTACATGGTGGCTAAGAAAATACATTTTCTAAGCCTTCAGGGTGATTATACCATCTTTCAGGAATCCAGTGGAACTGTGTACAGAAAATATGTCATTTAAGGATTGCCACACAGACAAATATCTGACTTGAAGACTGGAGAAATCTCCAGTAGGAGCCTCATGAGAAATATAAATTTGATTGTAGTATTTGTGTTACTTACTTAAGGATTGAGGTCTACTCAACTGAAAACTCAAAAAACAGTGACTTTCACATCATGGAGCATGGTTCTCAAATAGTGTGCCAAGGACACTGGAGTACCACAGCAAACTCAGGGGGAACCATGGGATAATTTTAATTTTGAAGGGAACAGAAGGATTTGTGGCATCCTTTGGACTCCAGGCAAACTACTAGCTTGAGGAGGTTCACAGTTTCAACATGAGATTGCACTATATCCTTTTAGTGATGTCATATCTTTGCAAAGCTCCACTTTCAGTAGTTGTGATGAAAAAGCTAGTTACTCTGTAGGCCAAAAGGTGGGAGCAACCCAAGTATAGGCAGATGAGTGGATAAAGAATATGTATGTCTTATACCTACAGTGGAATAGTGTTCAGCCTTAAAAAGGAAGGAAAGTCTGACATACGCTACGACATGGATGAACCTCGAAGACATTATGTTAAGTGAATTACGCCAGGCACAAAAGGGCAGATATTGTATGATTCTCTTATACAAGGTACCTCGAAGAGTGAAATCATAGAGACAAAAAGTAGAATGGTGTTTGCTGTGGACTGGAGGGAGGGGAGCATGGGAAGTTAGGTTGAATGGGAACGAAGTTTCAGTTTGGGAACATGAAAGAGTTCTGGAGATGCGTGGTGCGTGATGGTTGCCCAGCAGTGTGAATGTACTTAATATACACTTTAAAAATGGTTAAGATTGGGTGTGCCTGGCTGGTTCAGGTGGAGGAGTGTGCGACTCTTGGTCTTGGGGTCCTGAGTTCAAGCCCCATGTGGGGTGTAGAGATTACTTCAATAAATAAATAAACTAAGATAAAAAAATTGGGTAAGGTGGTAAATTTTATGTTATGTGTATCTTATCACAGTAAGAAAGACAAGCAAATTCTAAGTGAAAATCAGCGTGGAATGGGAGCTGAAGGTGGTGGTATCCAGTCTGATTCCAAGAGCTGAAGTAGTAGAGGGCACAGTTGGAATGCACATCCCATCAGTAATACTGTTATTTAAGAATGAAATAAAAATACTTTAATTCTTAATTTATGTACATTATTTTTTTCAAACAGCTAATAGATTGTTAGTACATAAATACTATTAAGTTGTTGGCACATAACTACTTAATGAGGGGTAGTGTTAGTTGTTCCTTTTGGCCAAGGGGCACCATGAAAAAATTACTGAGATGCTGAGAATGCCATGAACTGCAGACATTTGGGAACCTGTGTCAGAGGAGTTAATTGTTCTCACACAAAGAGCAGCCCAGGGTCGGGGATGCTGCTCATGGTGAGAAGCTCAGGGATGGCAGGTCCACGATCACGGAGCCTCCCTTCGCCTCTACCCCACTGCTCCTCCTGCTGTGGAGTCTGTATTCTGAGAAGAGTGAAAGACGAAGGAAGGACAATAGGCAGAAGGGTGAAAGGACGACCCCCTCCGAATCGACGCCATGAATCGGCTTTCC